TCATCTCAAAAACATTGCAAGAATCAGATGCTGTGTTTCCAGTGAGGACTTTGAGAAACTTGTTCATGCTTTTATCAGCAGCTGTACTGTAACGGCCTCCTCACAGGCCTTCGCAAAAAAAGACAGTCAGACACTTGCAGCTCATCCAGAACGCTGCAGCCAGGATTCTGATCAGAACCAAAAAATCAGAGCACATCACGCCTGTCCTCAGGTCTCTACACTGGCTCCCAGTTACATTCAGAATAGATTTTAAAGTATTACTGCTTGTCTATAAATCACTAAACGGCCTAGGACCTCAATACATTACAGATATGCTGACTGAATACAAACCTAACAGATCACTCAAATCTTTTGGATAAACAAGAAATTTCAAGAGTTCAGTCAAAGCAGGGTGATTCGGCTTTCAGCTACTATGCCCCTCGCTGCTGGAATCAGCTTCCAGAAATGATCAGATGTGCACCAACATTAGGCACATTCAAATCAAGACTGAAGACACATTTGTTTAGCTTTCTATATTGAATGAGCACTGTGTTGCGTCCGACAGATCGCACTATTATGTTTTCCCCTCTTTTTCATTCTTTTATAACCTGTTTTAATACATTTCTATTTGTTTTTATCTTTTTTTTTTACATTTTTATTACCTGTTTTTATTTTTCTTATACTTGTCTCTTTTATTCTTGTTTATGTAAAGCACTTTGAATTGCCGCTGTGTATGAAATGTGATATATAAATGAACTTGCCTTGCCTTGCTTGTGTTTATAACTGTGCCAAACAGAAAAATAGAATTTTGTTTTTAAATTTGTATCTCAAAAAATTATTTTGTCACCCTCCATAAAACAGAACTTTAAAATGGCTAACAAATATAACTAATGGTGATGAACAAAATAATCAACTAAAGTACCTTTTGGTGTTTAATGGACAAAAGTCCATGCTTTTTTCACAAATTCACTGCTTTATAATCAAACTTCCTTTTTTCCCTTATGTCGCTGGCAGTGTTGTGCTAATTTTCAAAGCCACCATGGCTGAGAAAACACTGCCATCATACATGATTCAAAGGAGGAGGCACAGAACACTCTGCACCCGGCCAAACGCTGAGTGCGCTATAGTCGTCACACTTTTCCCAAACGCCTTGCAGCTGCTCCTATTGTGGTCCCTGAAGGGCCTGAGCAGAGCCGCACTTCTGCGACCAGCCCTCCTTCTGTCTGACGGCTCTTAAATGAGCTTATTGAGAAGCCCGTGCCGGAACCATTCAAAAGAGTGGGGCCGCAAAGCATTCGCAGTGTGGGATTCCAATGCACGCGCAAACACGGGTCACACTGCCCTAACAAGTCAGGGTCAGGGTGAAAAGGGGATTGTTCAGACATTTTCCCAGCGATATTTGAAAAGTTCACACGGGCCTGTTGAAACAATAAAGTCAGCTGCATTTGTTTGTCTAGTGACCCCGCTTTTGGCACAGAAGGTGCTCATCTGTCTAGATACTGAAACACACTGCAGGCCCGAAAAGTATTTGGAAAATTGAATCGCTTTAAGATCTTTCTTGCTGCATTTGATTAGAAAAGCATTTATATGTGCATCTGAAGACATTGTTTGTATGTTTATTTTGAACTTTGAATTTACGGAAGACATTTATTTAAAAAAGTAATTTATACACCAAAAAATGTAGGCATATTTACAAAATATTTTCTTTTTTCAAAGGTTGAATTTACCCAAAAAATACACTTTGTCATTATTTATTTAATCTTCACTTGTTTCAAACTCTTTCTCTCTTCTGATCAACAAAAAAGAAGATATTTGGAAGAATGTTGGATCCTGTAACCATTATCTTACACAGAATTTGTTTTTACTACATGTGGAAGTCAATGGTTACCAGTTCCCTACATTTTCAAAAAAATTGTCCTTTGTGTTCAACAGAAGAAAAAAACTCATAAAGGTTTGAACCACTTGAGGGTGAGTAAAGCCTGTTTCATACTTCTGTGTAGAGTACATGCCTGTACTCCACAGCATGTACCTTCCACATAGCTGACGGTGTTGGGAAAATGTAAACTTCTGCATTCTGTTTGTCAATAACACATCAAAAATGCTAGTAGGCAGTGGGGTTTCTGAGTTCCACTGTGTCAAGTTTCTCAGTGGATTTGTGCTGAAAATGTATGCAAACTTACACCACTTTCAGAAAAGAAAATCAACAAACTTAATAGTAAAACACAAAATTCTGTGTCATGGTGGCGCAGTGGTACGCACAATCGCCTCACAGCAAAAATGTCTCTGGAGTTTGCATGTTCTCCCTGCGTTCGCATGTGTTTCCTCTGGGTGCTCCGGTTTCCCCCACAGTCCAAGACATGCGGTACAGGTGAATTGGGTTGGCTAAATTGTCCGTAGTGTATGAGTGTGTATGGATGTTTCCCAGAGATGGGTTGCAGCTGGAAGGGCATCTGCTCCGTGAAACATTTGCTGGATAAGATGGCGGTTCATTGCGCTGTGGCGACCCCAGATTAATAAAGGGACTAAGCTGAAAAGACAATTAATGAATGAATGAATTTATAAATGAATAGGGCTTCACGGTGAGGCAATGGGAAGCATGATCGCCTCACAGCACAAAGGTCACTGGTTAGTTGGCATTTCTGTGTGGAGTTTGCATGTTCTCCTCGTTGTCACATGGTTTCCCCCACAGTCCAAAGACATGCGCAATAAGTGAATTGAATAATCTCAATTGGCCGTGGTGTGTGTGAATGCAAGAGGGTATGGGTGTTTCCCAGTGTTGGGTTGCAGCTGGAAGAGCATCCGCTCCGTAAAAAATATGGTGGATAAGTTGGAGGTTCATTCCACTGTGGCGACTGATTAATAAAGGGACCAAGCCAGAAAATGAATGAATGAATTTAAGTCTAAACACAGAGTTTATAAGAATTCTCTAGTTTAAGCACAAGACTTTAAGCAGATCTGTCTGGATTTTACAACTCCAGCCATGGGGTCCAAGTCCTGAAAGGCACTCTTTCTACTTTTTTCATTTAAATTTTATTTTGTTTAGCTGTTTTTTTTTATTTTTATGTCACTCAGTCTTCTTTTCTACATTTTGTACGTAATGCAAGCTCAACATTTTAAATGATTTGTTTTCTTAAAATTAATTTGCAACTTAAAATACTATATATTTTTATGAATTTGACTGCTGGACTGCTCCATGATTGGGGTGGTGAATCATTTATTTTACATTATAATTACATAACATCACATTATTATTATAATTTTATGTTTAATCGTATATTAAACATTTAATGATGTAAAAATTGTATTTGTTTGACTCTCACTGTACAAAATATGATAGAAATGTTGTTATATATAGTTTATAGGTATAATTTACATTTCTAGATAATTTATTGGGGGCCCACAGATGTCATGGGGGTAAGTAATAACATTTGAGTTACTTGTTAGATTAATTAATTCGCTTTTAAAAAATAGACTGCTGATTTAAAATTAATGTTGAATCCAACACTCTAAAAGCACAAAAGCATCAAACACATTGCTTTTAGCTTTAATTAATCTGTAAATACAGCATGTATAGCTCTGGGGTAAGGAAGTTCAACATTATTAGTTTTTTATGTGTTTTTTTTAAGGTAAATAAAGGTTGTCTTCTTTATTAAAAATAATAAGGAAAAAACCCAGATAGAAATCAAGCCAGGTCAGAAAAAAGTAATGCAAAAGTAAATCAAAAGTAAAGTGACCCAATACTTACCATAAAAAGTAACAAACACAACTAATTCAACTAATGAATAAAGGAACTAATTTCTTTTTTGGGCAGCAACTCAATATTGTAATGCATTACTTTCAAAAGTATTTTTTCCAACACTGGATGTATTGTCTGGGATGATCTTGTATATTATGGTACAAAAACCTAATTTGTAATAAACTGCCAGTCTATTTTCGGTTGTTTTACGTACTTATTTCTCTCTATATTATTTCTAATAAATTATCCAAAATGTCAATAAAAGACACTTTGTTAAATTATAGTTGAATTTTCAACATCAAATATGGGCACAGAGCAGAGATCAACATCCCATAATGCAATACACAACCATAATAAAGACTTGTGTATCACAAAATACGAAAACTGATAATTAACATATAATTAAAATATAATTAACATTTTACAGTTTATTGTAGCATTTTAGGTGTATAAAAAACGCAGTCACAATAATAACAATTATTTTAGACTTTATTAAACTTAATAATTTAAACTAATAAACATTATTGTGCGTTGTTTTTACTTTCTAATATTTCAACAAATTATAAATGCTATAAGAACTGTTTATTGGCAGCTTAAAACTAAACATATTAATCATTTTTTCCTTGTTTCATTTTGCATTGTGATGCATTTTAAAGGTCCTGTGTGCAGGAGTAATACCAACAAAAAGATATTATATATCTATTAATATTTAGACCAGGGGTGCCCAAAGTTTTTCTTGTAAAGGGCCAAAAGCCAAACTCGATTGAGGGCTGTGGGCGAAATATATATCAAACTGTATTACAATATATCTGCCAAGGAGGATTTACCAACTTATTCAGTAATATATATATATATATATATATAATGTTGCTTTAAATCATTTCAACTAATCCAGTATCATTGTCAACAGTTTATAATTAACTTATTACTGTGAAAACAAACAATACAATTTATAAACACAATGGAGATCAGTGCTGAATACACTAGTTGGGCTGCTCCTGCCTTAACTTTTGTAGTGACAGGATTTACATTTTAAAAGTTTATTGAATCATTTAATTTCTGATATTTGTAGCTGAGCAATAAAACTAAGAAACAAGAGGCTATGTTAAATTTAAAATGACGATCTCTGTCAAAGGCATTTGCTCCAACAGTGTCCATCATTCTCCCTATCTTTTCATATGGGACGATGGGCCAAATCAAAGTTAACCATACAACTTCGACCCGTAGACCCTACTTTGGGCATCTCTGATTTAGACTATTCAAATATTAAATTCACAACAAAATATTGCATATAAAAAACATGTTTATTTGTCAGCAAGTATCACAAATATATGAAAAAATATAGCATAAGAAATATATTAATTTAGTCAATAAATAGTCACATATCAAAAAAAGCCCTGTAAGAGTAATTCCTGTTAGTAGTGCTTAAGGGAAGAGGACTCTTACCGGACTGACAACAGTACAGACACATGAGGTATTTCGCTGTTTGTTTACAGACAAGCAAACGTCTGGAATCAGATTGCTTTTTGAAAAGGCATGACAGGCTTGCACAAAATAAAACACTTCAACATCCACTGTCTTACGGCAGAGCCTGGAAAGACTACATTCAATGTTCTAAGAATAAAAATCGTAGCAGTACTTTTTGATAGCACCTTCAAGTCTAGTGACTTCCCTCCCTCCTCAGACTCACATAATCAAAACAACAACATAAAAAAGGACGACAATCCCTGAGCAACCTATAAGACATGGGGCTTTTTTGATGCTAACAAATGACCACAAAACTGATTATCAAGATCAAAATAATAACACAATGGAGGACAGTTTCTACTTTAAAGAGATTTTTCACTTAATTTAATTCTCACTATTGTTTCTTTTGAAAACGTATTTTGAAAATGCTGAAAACTTGTAAACATTGGCTTCCAAAGTAGGGAAAACTTACTATGGAAGTCGATGGGTACAGATTTAACATTGCTCAAAATATCTTATGTGTTCAACAGAAAAAATAGTAACCCAAAGATTTGAATTGAGTGAAGCCCGAGTAAAATTCTCAGGTGAACGGTCCCTTTAATATTCGTCACATTAAAAGGTTAAGTCAAATATGGACCACAGTATAAAAATGCTAAAACAGAGTTCTAGGCTACATTAGCCATCGTCAAATTGAGCAATCGTGGAAAACAGTTAGCAACAGGAACATTCAGGAAGATTCCCGAGGCTTTTAATACTGGCAAGATCACCTCAGGGATCATACAGTCTTCATATAAATAAAAGTCTCGCCGGTTGAGAGGCGAGATTAGGAGTCTGACCACTTTAAAGAGTGTGTCTCAGCAGGAGGGTGAGGTAGTGATGGGACTCTGCAGGAAGGAAAGAGGACTGGCCGCTGTGTGGACGGGGAAGTTGAACACAGTGCTGTTCTTGCCAATGGCGGGGCTTCCTGCTTCTGAGGAACACGTAGAGGAGGCCAGAACTTGCGACTCGAATTGTAAAAGCTGGCCCATGAAGCTGAAGTTGGGCGAGATGATGCTGCGTCGCTGTTTAACGAATTCGAAGGCCTCTTCCAGTTTGACGCGGTTGGTGCGCATCAGATAAGCCAGACAGATGGTGGCAGAGCGCGAGATTCCCGCTTGGCAGTGAACAAAGACACGTCCACCTTTATTCCGTACAGAATCTGGGAGAAAGAGAAAGGAGAGTGTTGGTTAAAACTCTACTCGAGAAGTTCCTCTAAGTTTTTTAGTTTGTGTTTAAAGCCACGTCAACTTATATGGCTGTTTTGTAGGAATACTGTAGATATAGTATACATTAAAAAAAAAAAAAAGTTTACAATTTTTTTTTTACCAGATCTCTGAAACTGTATTTCGATTAACAATGTTTAAAAAAAAAACACTTCAAAAGAATAAAGTGAATAAAATAAACTCAGGAACCCAAATACAAAACGATCTGTTAATGACAGTTTGGCTAACCAAACATTCACTTGTAAATTAAACACTACAGGAATGCAAATGAGGGAAACGGTCCCATTAAAGAAACTGGAAACGATGAAGCAGGCAGGGGTTTGATTAAGAAGGGACCTCCCCCCTTTTCCCGCTCCCTACCATTAGGCCTAAACACACAATGGGGGGTTGTGGCCCCCCTGCAAAGTGCACTGATCTGATAGGAGGGCAACTGAGAACCAGAGACACTACCTTTTGTTTGGGCAGAACAAAGGACGCAAAGCATTCAGATGGAGCCAGTTGCCCCATGAAAAGATCAGGTCACGTCCTGGTGTTATTTGAATAGGGGGGCACTTTTTAAAACAGGATGAGAGGATGATGTAAGCTTTAGTGGCTGTCAAGCCTGGGAGGTACAGCTGGCCGATTTGGAGGGAACTTTTGAAAAATGCAATTCAGACTTGGGTTGAATGGGGGTTGGGCTGTGAGACAGCCTGCCAAACCACGTCATAAGGGTGACATCTGTTCCCAATTTCCTAACGGCATAGAATAATAGCAGCGAAAAATGATACTCACCAATAAATTCGATGGCCTCGTTGAACCAGGAACTGATGTTAGCCTTGTGGTTGTCTTCAACTGGAATGCTTTTGTACTGGTAGTGGTCTTCAAAGTGGTTGGGACAGTTGGAAGAGACGTTAATAAGAGCGGTGATCCCCAACATGTCCAGCATGTCTTTTCTGGAAGCGTGATAAGCACTGCCCAAATATAGGAAAGGCAGGATTTCTACAGGGCCACCCTGAAAATAAAACAACGATAGATATTATTGAACTAGTTCGTTCACAAGCCAGCTTGTTTACAGAAATGGTGTATTCAAAGGCTCTATTTACCTGATCATACAGAGGGGTTGTACATGTGTTACAGGAGGAATCAGCGGTGTTTGAATGGCAGTTGGAGCTCAGAGGTAAACTCAAGCCTTGTGGGGGGACGGTCTTTGTACACTTTTCAGGAAACTCAGCGGAAAATGTGTCAAATCCACCTAAAAAAAACAAAACAGAGGTCAGTGTTTTGAAATTCACAAATGTCAAGTTGAAAACAGCTGAAGAAACATTTGGTCGAACTTTTGACCTTCAATTGGTGTGTAATAAAACTACTATAAACAAAAGTGAAAAAAGTCGATTACCTTTAAGAAGGTATACACTTGCTCCACATTGTTTGCGGCACAACGCGTTCACAGCGAGCATTAAAGTCCCGTCTTTCTTCACTTCTCCCATCTCTAGACTGTGGTCATCCAGGAAAACGACACTCTGGTATTCCCCGGACAGAAGCCTGTTCCTGGTGTCCTCGTTGGGCACAATGTGCTCAAGCCCCAGCCCCCCTCTGGCCCTCCGGCGCACGATAGTACTGAAGCGCACATTACTGGAGCCCGAAATGTGAGATACGCTGAAAGAAAAGAAGGAGCGACAGTCCAAAACCAAACAATCCGGGTCGTCTCCCTCCAACATATCCCGAAGTGAGGCCGAATCGATAGTGGGCACTTCCATGATGACCATAGTACAGAAGGACAGCTCTAAATACATACAGCTAGATGAACGAAACAAACCCAGCGCGCTTGAAAAGTTTCTCCAAAGTCCCGTGATCGAGAATTTGATGTTGTAATAGTCCGTGAAGCGACGCTGAAATGTCAGTTCTTTTGTTTTCAATTCTAAACTCGTTACTGCTTTTCTTCTTGTTCTGAAGTGAACGACTCTCTGAGCTTTATATACTGACCTCGCTTCCTTCATGACGTAAAACGCCCCGCCCTTTGGCCGCGTGCGCACGTATTTTCGGCGTAGTTGAGCCTGGCCAACCAAACCCACATTATCTGATCCTGTCAAAGCCAGTCGACCTCTAACAAACCTAGTTACTAGTAAACTGGTTCATTTTCCGAATAGTGTCACAACTATTAGTGTTAACTACGATAGAAGCTATTCTTCTTGTTGTTGGAGTTTGGTTTTGAGGTCTGAGTAGCCTAGAAGAGTTTTACTCAGAAGTTGATCTTCGACCTCAGACTCATTATCAGCCAGGTCAATGAGATATCAGGATTGGCCAATAATGGTGCTGTCTTGGCAGAATAACACATGCAGTACTTCCCTCACATATCACTTCCAACAGGGTATAATGTGTGATCATTTTTGAATGTCAGTGGTTTTGTGCATACAGTCCAAATGGCTTTGTCCCTGAAACTTTTTGTGATCTAAAAAAGGTATTAAAATGTTTTATATTAAAATCTAAGTATATATTAAAATATATTATATTAAGTATTAAAATCTAGTTTTACTTCTTTTTTAAGCAATTCAATGTTCTAGTTACTTTTAAAAATGATAATGTGTTACTTTTGCATCACTTTTTAAAATATTTTTGTTGCATAAAATGTAAACCTGAAATGTGAAGTGGATAATAGAAGAAAATGTAACTTCATGTCTGTACAGTTGAGGGCGCAGCTCAAACAAAACATTCAACTGTGTTGAGTCTCTGAATTGCATGAAGAATAAATTGTTGACGCATGAAAGGAAGGTCAGCTTTGCTTTTCTCAGTTTTTATTCATCTTGAGGGACACCAAATCTGTGTTTGTGCTAGTGAGATGAGTAATTACCTGTTAACATTTAAGCTAGACCTACAAAAAGTATCATATTTCAACACTGAACACAACACCTAAATGCTACACCCATGGGGGCAGGAGAGATGTCAGTCAATAAAACAGTATATTTTCTTGATAATGAAAAAGTAACACATTACTATACTGGTTACTTGAAAAGGTAATGTAATTATGTAACCCCAACACTGTCTACGTAGGTTTAAAAAGTTTATGTTTTTTTTTTACATCAAAAGAATATGCGAATATTGACACAAATATAAACCTAATTGTCTTGATTGATCAATATTAAAATAAATTAACATATAAGAAACTTGATTATAAAGTTTGAGATTACATACTGACATTTTCTCTTGAACATAATGGATGAAAAGCATGTTTTGCAGTGATTTGACAAAAAAAAAAACCTGATTACATTTAGTATTTCAAGAACCTTTTTCTTATAAACACTATTTTCCTTATTTATAAAACCATTTTCAGCTATAAAAAAGTTATAGGAACCATTGATGCCAAATACAGGCGTTTGTTTGTCAGAGTGCGGCTATTCAAACATCAAGGGCCATCATGTTTATAGTTTTCCCCATGGTATTATTGTTTTTAAAACTTTCCTATTCACATAAATAACTAGTTAATTAGCGAACCTGTCATTGTGCTCATAAAAGTTTATACTTTGTTTTTATTGTACAGGAGTACATAGTGTGCAACGCCGCCAGAGCAAAGGGAAACCATAAAAGTTAATCACTGTATAGAAACTTGAGGTCTGGTAAATTTCCATCAGCTTCCAACACAAACAGGCACAGGTGTAAGAGCCTGTGCTGGAGGAGATCTTTTTTTTTTTCAAACACAATTAACATATGTTTAATAACTTGTTTGTCAAAGCTGAAAGATTTCCGTTGTCACTTATTCCTATCCACATGTCATTCAGTTTTTACTGTTATGTAATTTGCTACAATATCACATTTCTCAAAACAGAAGGGAATTTTTGTGGAATTATATCATATGTGTGATGTGATTCAGTGGAATAAGTTTAGACTTTTCCATCAAAAAGGCGGCAAAATTAAATGCTTACATCATTCAATTTAAATATAGGTTTTGTAAAAAAATGTGTATTGATCACAGCTTTATCCTCGAAAGTCATTGTTACTAACATAAATACAAAGTGAAGTCTTTCATCAAAAGTAAGTGTTGCTGCAATTGAATCATGCAGAGGTCTGGTTTCAGGTACACCTCTTAAAGTTCCAGTTCCAAATGATATGCTATGAATTCAAATTGAATTAATACTGGCTACACAGTATTCAAAAATGTTGCTGATTTTATGTCTGAAAAGCTTAGAAATATATATTCTTTGAATTATTAGTGATTTTAAAATCACTGCTGACATAAAAATGTTTAGCGTATAAAAAAAAACTGTAAGTTTTTGATTTTTAGAAAGTCTGTTTTGAAAATATTTATCTAGTTCATCCTTCAGGAGCTTCAACAGTGTTGTATAAAGCATAAATAGAAATTAAGACGACTTAGCTTGACTTTATTAGAGTTAAGCTGCATGCCACAGTACCTATTTACTGTTCTAATCATAGTTTTAATATGATCAAATTGAATCAATATTAAAATTGTTGCAATAGTGTAGCAATTTATTTATATACTCCACATCCATGGTTGCAAAACTCCTCTCTGCTTCTAAATGCAGTAGAATGATCAATTCTTCCACCAATGATTGCATTGTAAAGAGATTTCAGATCTGTCAAAATTCAAATAACTTGGAAGAACAGGATGACAGAAACTGACAGATGCATTTTACACACAATTGCTCCTTTGTTCTTAAAAAAGATTAAAGAGAAAAGTCTGGCACCGTGGTACAACAAGCTCATTCACACCTTAAAGACTGAAACAAAACTAAAGGTGTTTCATCTAGCATGGATTGTTGTGTCATCAAAAAGGCCTTTTCAGTCCTGACAGAATCACAGTCCTTTATTTATTTGATATTGTCTAAATTAATTAGAAATAAAGCATCAGTGCACACACAGCATTACTGACTTAATGGACTTTCAAGATTAGTTAAAAGAGACAAAATTATTACCATTATACCATCTACTATAGTTTTATGCCAAATAGCTCTTATCATCTGATCTTGGTTGTGTTTTTATATTATTATTGAGTTTTAGTGATGACTATTCTCTTGGATATGCTTGTACATCTTGCTGGGATTACACACTGTTCTGAATGTCATCAACTTGTAAGTTTATGTATGTTTTTTTTAATACTCTAATTTGTGATCATTATGGCTGTATATATTTCATCATGTAACTTCTTTGACTTTATTTGATAATATTTTATTTCAGTGATGACAGATATGACAATTACAAGCAAACTGGCATTTGTAGGTCATGACGTCAGTACTAAGTTTCTGAAGCATGAGTCAGGACTTGAGGAGCACTGCTCGCAAAATCATCTCTGAGGTTGTCGTACAGAAAAAACAGTAACTAAGTAACAATAAAAACACTGATGAGTCTGCAGAGAAATGCAAGCCACAAGATGAAAACGTTACACCACAGAAAAAAACAAAACATTTCAACATGTCTTTGCTTAAAAGTGACACAAATGAAACATGACATTGTTCATATATTTTAAATTAAAAAAATGTTATAACATGAACATGAAAAACATGTTAAAGCTATATTTTTTTGATTACTCACACTTGCATGTTCTGTCTGTTAAAAAAAGGAAGTGAAAGAGTGTGAAGAATGAGGCATTTCCTTGGTGTAGCAAATAGAATATACCAATGTCATCAATGTCATTTACGGACAGAGGTGCCTTTGGGCAACAGCTGTTGAGGTTTGGGAAAATACTCCATGACATTTGGTCTCTTTTCCATAACTCATTTATAGTAAATTTTGCAGATTGTGTCCTGATGTCTCACTGCTAAAATTTCTAGAATGCACTCGGAAATGACATAGTGAAACACTGCATGATGCATCATACCATTCAGAAATGGCAACTATTGGGTAAATTAAAGTATTTAAAATATAAAAATAGGAAAATATTATTGTATGTTTTGTAATTGTATCAAAATTATGTATAGGTAACAACAATTGAATTTTGAGTACTTAAATAAATAAAACAAAAATATGTTTCACTAAAACACATTAATTGTAAATTTTGAGATTTTTATTAATAATTTAATTAAATTAATAATTATATATAGATAGATAGATAGATAGATAGACAGATAGATAGATAGATAGATAGATAGATAGATAGATAGATAGATAGATAGATAGATAGATAGATAGATAGATAGATAGATAGATAGATTGATAGATAGATAGATAAATAGGTGTATATAGATTAGGACTACTTTTAAGGTGTTTTACTTGCATTCCTATTTTGAGATGCATTGTTTTAAATCTAACAAAATGTGTCAAATTATTTGACAATGTCCTTATTTTTAGATATTATCTATCTATCTATCTATCTATCTATCTATCTATCTATCTATCTATCTATCTATCTATCTATCTATCTATCTATCTATCTATCTATCTATCTATCTATCTATCTATCTATCTATCTATCTATCTATCTATAAACTTTCAGCTATTCAGTAATTTTTCATATACTACAATATAGCATGACATCAATTATTTCTGAAAGAAATATAAAATACTTCTAATCTTTCAAAAATCTGTTAAAAAGAGAACACGTAGAAAGTCTGTGTGTGTGAGAGAAACCTGCACAAGACTTATAGAAATGTTAAACTTGATATAGAACTGTTTTATTTCCAGTAACTGAAATGACACTCGTTCATGTGTAATTTTTGCATAAGCTTTTCCCCATGAAGTCGATACTGACAGTGATCAAACTGTTTCCATTTTTATTAGTTTACTGTAAGTTCTTCTATTTGAGCCACTTATGTTGATTCATTTGTTTCTCGAATCAGCCCTATTTCATGACTCAGCTTCTGTTTAAAAAAGTTTTTAAAACTTATTTGTTTTATTTGAATGTGTTTTAAATAGAATTATAAATAAAGAAATGTATAGGCTAACAACTATGATAAAAAATGGAGACAATCTAAGTTAGATTAGTTTTAAGTTATTAGTTTCGTTTATAGCTTAATAAGTTTTATAATGATATACACACAATTCCAGAAAATTCCCAGAAGTTCCCAATATGAAACAGTTTGATTCTCAAATTTCACTAACACAGCCACAAGAAAGAACCCAGCAGTGGCAGATCTTTCTTTTGTTGTTGGGTGGTAGAAACAGCTTAGACTGCTGGACCACATACACGGAAGCGAAAGTATTCAAATTAACTTCGGTCTTGAATCACCACGGGCTACGCATTAAGCTATTTACACATCACTTTTTTTTCTTAACCGGAAAAAGAATCACACAGCTCGAGAAACTCCGACCAATAGGATTATGCAAAGCGTCCTAAGCGGATGTCACGTCCGGTCTGAACAGCCGGCAGGATTGAAGGAAGAATCTGGAGTAACCCATCCCAAGTGTCCTTTATATTTAAACACATTTGAGTTAAATCTATCCCTGCAGTCACGATGACTTTTGATGTGCGGAGGTGAGTAGAGGTCGAAACGAGTCGGCTGTTGGATTGTTTTATTCTTTAGTGCATGAATCAAACACGTCAACCAATGAGGCACAATGGTAGTGTTTCAAAACCTAGTGAGCTGCCTATTGAGACAGTATTATTTAACCCAAACCTTCGTAACAATTCGTAACATGAAATAATTACATGGATCTTGTAAATCTGCTCACAACGTATTGAGAAACATCCAGTTGTTCCATACACTGCAGATTGCTCAGTTTGTAATAGAAAAACACTTTTGAAACCACGTCTCTCTTTTTTGTCTTAATGTTATGTAAACCCTTTTTAAAAGCATCAAACTTTCCTTAAAAAAAAGATAAATGTTTATGGAAACTTGAGCAGGACCATGTGAACTGTCTCTTAAATGCTGCCTGTAGAATGTATCACTTGATTCATGTGCAGTTGAAAAGATTCTGTTTGTAACTGTACACATCACCTCAACTGCTACTAACAGACTCATAAAAGGTTTTCTACGAAAAGGGATTTTCAGCTCAAAATTTTAATTTTGGCATCATTTACTCATCTACTTGTTACAAACCTGTTTGAGTTTCTTTCTGTTGAATGCAAAAGTACATATAACGAAGAATGCTGGCCATTGACTTCCATAGTATGTTTTTGTTCCTGTTATGGATGTCAATGGCTGCATTTTCTAAGATTCTTCACAATATCTTGTGGTAACTGACAGAAGTGAGACAGTCTTAAAAGTTTAGAATCACTTAAGTGTGACTGTGAATAACTAACTATGCCAAGTATAACATATACATATATGTTATGTAATTGACCCTTCGCGAAGCCCTGCCCTCCTTAGTTATTGTTGCTACGCCTGTCAAGCTTTCATGCCTGGCACGTCTATTACAATGTTTATGCGCCAGTGTCAGACATTCCCAGGGATATAATCAGTCATTTTTGGCAAACAGGTGAGATATCTGAGAAAGCCAGACAAAAAAGGACTGCAGTAGCGTTACAGGGGTATATTCACGACATAATAGGCAACAGATTTAAAAATTATTCAATCAAACTTGAAGCTAGGTTAACCTAGCTGCCTATCTATTCTAATTATCAGTTAAGTGGAAGAAATAAATTAATTAAAGTGCAAATCAAAGTATAAATAGTGGAAGTGAACAAATAGATTTTCCCTTCCAGAAAATCTTTAAGACTATTAATTCGACACCAAATAAAAAGCAGAAAAAAGCAGACGCTAACCCGCTATAACATTGTCACCAATGACTAAATCTCCAAAAGACCAACGAAAACATCAGTGAACTTTAGCTCTGACATGGGCATAAGGGTTATAAATTCCTGAAAAACAGCTGCGGGTAAAGTATATTAATCGCAACTGCTCAGATTCTGATCACATCTCTGTTTTGTTCTGTTGATATGTCATTTTAAATATTCATAGCTTGAAACAGACAGAAATATGATTGCTATTTGTATGACTATTATGGTGAGGGCTTAAACGGAGCCGTGCTCATAATATCGAGCTAAAAAAAGAAAAAGACAGCTGGGAAACATAACCTGCTTTGTATTTTTGTAGGAAACACAGTTTAGATCTTTTTAGGGTAAGAGGTGTGTGAGTTATTGACATCTATCACTGAATGTGTCAGGAATGTCAAAACAAAACCAACTTAACTCAGCTACTTTAGCGCCCCTCACACAGCTTGATCCACGCTGGCATTTCTCCCCTTGGGTTTTAGGTTTTGAAAAGGGAAAAAAGTCCACCACCCAGTCCAAACTTTAAGGATATCGGTGTCAGACTTGCACAATCCATATGCACAACACTTTGGCTTGTTTCCCTCGCTCGAAAGCTTAACAGCCCTTGTGCGTAGCTGCGGTTGCCAAGCCACGGTTGGTGGGTGGCGGTTTTTGGGTGTGGCTTAGCGAGGGGTCAATTGTTTGAAGAATTGCTTTGTTTGAATATAAATATATATATATACAGTCATTTTAATATTTATAAAGTGCCTGTGATGGCAAAGAAACCATTCTGTTAAACCACTTTGGTGCTTAAGAATCTTTTCCTGTTATTAACAATTAACATATACATACATATATATATATATATATATATATATATATATATATATATACACACACACACACACACACACACATACATACATACAGATATGTATATATATACATACAGATATCTGAATGACCAAGGCAAGGCTGTTTGGGTTCTGGTCCAGAGCTGAGTTTCAAATGATTTTTTTTTCAACTTCTGACACCAAAAGCACCAGCTCTGAAACAATTATGAAGTGCTTTCACATGTGAAGTTTTTAATTCATGTTTGTATGTCGTTTTATGTAACCTGAAATGAAACAAGTAGACGGGGTGGGGCATAGATATGGCAGGGTCTGTCATTTAGAGTTATTGATCTAAAGAGCATCAGAATTATGACTGTCACAGTCGATAACAGTAATAATGTAAATATTTAAACAGTTTTTCTGATTTAAAATACAGCTTTCTGCATAATTCAAATTGGTCCGACATGTTTTTTTTTGTGTGTGTGTATTAAACAATAAGTACAATTGGATAGAGCAGGAGGGAGAAAGATCCGCAAGCCTGGATTTTACCACCGACTCCTAAAGCAAAATGGTGTTATACTGTATGTTGTTGCACTGCCCACTAAGATGTTAGTGCGAACATAAACATCTTTACAATTGCCATGTAGGCATGGGACGATAACCTGTTTCAAACTTTACCATGGTTTGGAAAAATATTTTTGTTTTACCCTGGCATTTAAAAATAACTTTTTTACAAAACCGTGATACCGTAAAACCATGGTATTTTTATCCAACGTTATCATAATGTCAGAAACTTACACCGGCCCATGCCTGTTGCCATGCGAAACATATTTCAGAATTTTTTTAATTAAATTTAAATTTTATTTTTAAAAATAAAATCAGTTTTCATCCACCACTAGTTTAATATTCCTTTAGTCTGAATCTGTAAAACAACTCTGACATCAGAATGACCTTGCAAGTCTTGAACTTCCCATGAAAATAAACAAAAAGTTTTTTAGTTGTTAGTATCAATATGCAAGTCTTAATGATATCTATAAGCTAATGTTTTCCAAAACAGTGACAAAATTTGCATTTAGAAGATCTAAACATCCAAAGCTTGTAGTTTGTCATTTCTGCCTAAAAGTGTCAATGATTTATTTTGATATCATATCATACTTCAGTTTCTCATCAAATGGTATGACCAATTAAATTCTCTCTAGTATCTGTAGCTCTGTAGTATGACACTTTTTATCTGATATACTTGATCTCAACCCCTCTCACTGGCAGAGCTGTGATAAAATGTATCTTTATAATATAAAAATAATTTTTAGTTTTTTTAAAGAAGGTAAAAAAAAGAGCTACTCTGTCTTAATAATTCAATTGAAATGACTTCAAACATCAAACAAAAATTTACTTTTTAAAGCACTTCATAAGACCTTTAAGACCATAATGTAATGTCCCAGATGACTGTAGACATATTGTGAATGAAGTGGATTGTGGATTGTGGATTTTCAGTGGTTGGCGCCAGTATATTTCCTGCCTTTGTGTGCTCTGAAAGTTGTAAGGCTGTTTTGGTCAGGGTGAAGTTTAGAGCTTTGTATCAGCTATTTAGACAGTTGTGCTTCAAAATGTGTAGCATTTTTGTCTTTGTCTTGGGCACAATCAAACAGAGCATGTGCAGATTTTGTAATTTTGCATCATATTATTCAAATTCTTGTTGCTAAGTAACACAGCCTTGTTTCCTTGTATGTAATCATACTTCCTTTTAGCTGATCTGATACCCCAATGAAAGTGACAAAAACATCTGAAATAAACCACTCTGCCTTTGGCATGGTACAAACCACATCCTCTTTAGTAACGATGACATTTGCATCAGAATAGACTCCTAAACTTTTTGTGCTTTAGTTGCGCAGTTGAGTGTTAGTGTTAGGGCTTCATTACTTACTAATAATTTCTATGAGAACTGGTAATTGCACATTTATTCATTTGAATTGAAGCGCAGTGGTTAGCGCTGTTGCCTAACAGCAAGAAGGTCACTGGTTTGAGCCTCGGCTGAGTAAATTGGCATTTCTATGTGGAGTTTGCATGTTCTCCCTGTTTGCTTGGGTTTTTTCCGGGTGCTCCAGTTTTCCCCATAAGTCCAAACACTTGCGTTATAGGTGAATTTGGTAAGCTAAATTGTCAGTAGTGTATGTGTGTAAATGACAATATATGGGTGTTTCCCAGCAGCTGGAAGGGCATCTGCTGTGGAATACATATCAGTTGGCCGGTCATTCCGATATGGCGACCCCTGATTAATAAAAGGACCAAGCCGAAAAGAAAATGATTGAATAATTGTGTAGTTGCATACATATACATGATCTTTAATAAGTGTATAGTGCAGTCATTCAGTGAAAAAGCATTTTACTTCATTTATTCATTTTCTTGTTGGTTTAGTCTCTTTTTTAATCCGGGGTCGCCACAGCGGAATGAACTGACAACTTATCCAGCACGTTTTTACATATTAATTACATATTATTTATACATATAATTTATTTGTCTGCAATACCCCTTTCACACATACAGACCTTTCCGGAAAATTACCAGCAATTTCCCCTGTATGTGTAAACAGCACTTTTTTTTTTATTTACCGGTAAAGTCGTTCCGGTAATTTTGCGGATATTTACTTTTAATACTGTGTACTACTGTGAAAGGGGCTATTGACTACATTTTCGCCAGATGAAATGGAAGGATATTCGGAAAGTAGTAGTGCTGGACGATTTGGCCTAAAACCAAAATTTCAATTATTTGAACATTTTAACTCGTTTACGATTAATGAAGGATTATTTTATGTATTTATTTAATTTGCCTTCATAGTTCACTGATAAGATTTTTTTTTACAGTAAATATGCCCACATATAACAAGTGAGAACATTTTGAATTAAGGGTGCACTACTTGATAAAAAAAATTGAAGGAAACACACACCATCT